GGCTTGCTTGACAATACCTTTGCCCTTCTTCTTACGCATTTTCTCGGCGACAAGCATTTCTTGACCGCCACGGATGACTTCCTCCTTGTTAAGTTTCTGACGCTTGCCCTCCTTAACATCGGCTGCGAAGCCAACGACGGCGCTACGAGCAAGTTGCTTCAGGTCCTTAGATGTGATACTGCGGGGAATGTTGCGTATAGACAGGCGAGTAAGGGACAAGTGAAGCGAAGGATTCTCTTGGATCTGCTTACGTCGCATTGTTGCGCTCTCTTCGCGCATCTTGATTTCAGAGGGCGAGAGCTTCTGGTATAGGGGCGAGTTAGAGGAGATGGTTCCCTCGGAGAGAAGGTAGAGACGGCGCTTGTCTTTGTCGCGACTGAAGCGCGAAGCAGCGCCTTCTGCTGTCAGACGGGTGGCTTCGTTCTTATCCACTGCGCGTGAGATTTGTAGGATACGGCCGTCGATGGTGTATTTGCCAGTTGGGTCGGCATCTTCGTCTTCGAGTACAGAGTGTGTAACCGTGATGGTGGAGCCGTCTTTCTTGTCGAGATTCCTCTTCTGTAGCTTGACGCGCGGGACTCCCTTCAGGCAATTGATCATGTCTTCTTCCGAAAAGAACGAGACGAATCCCGTACCCTTTGGTCGTTCCGTTTCGCGATCGACCACGACACGCGCGAATCGGACGCCACCGAACTGCTGGAAGTGCTCCTTAAGACGCTCGTCGTCTACTGTGAAGGGGACATTGCGTACGAAGACGGTGTACTCCTCGCGCTTTGGTCGGGTGTCTTCTTGGTCAAGTTCTACACCACCGTCCTCGTCATCCTCCGATATGTCTTCGTAGTCGGTGTTGCTATCGTCGAGATCCTCGTCGTCTTCGCTATCGTCTTCCTCGTCGTCATCTTCGTCCGAGCTGACGGCAGAGCTCTCCGCATCTTCCATGTCTTCATCTTCGTCCTCCCCCTCGTCCTTGGCATCGTCGCCCTCCTGCTCGGTCTTTTGCAGGCTCTGCCATGTGTCTCGATCCACGGCCCAATCGACAGCGATGGGCCTCTCGCCAACCTCTTTGCCGTTGAGTTCCCGTATCGCTCTCTCCGCGTTCTTCTTTCCTCTTAGCGAGACGAAGCCAAAGCCTCTCAGTTCACCATTTGGCTTCTTGGGCAGATTGACAAAGTTGACCTTGCCATAGCTTCTGAACAACTTTTGTAAATCTTCTGGCGTCTTGATAGTCCATGGAAGGTTGCGAATGATGAGTTTTGGTGTTTGCGCATCCTTGATCTGCTGCTCGCGCTCTGCCTTGGCCCTGTCACCAGCCCGGGGACGCTTCTCTTCGCCCTCTCGCTGTCTGGCCTCGGCAAAGTCGACCTTAATCTTCTTTCCCTTGATTTCTGTGTTGTTCAACTCCTCCTTTGCTCTTTGCGCATCCTCCACGTCGGCGAATGTGACGAAACCGTAGCTCTTGGATTCGCGAGTTTCTTTATCCAGCACGACGAGCGCATTCTTGATTGGGTATGATTCGGAGAAGTATTCGGTCAGGTCTTCGGTGGTGACAGTGGGCGCAAGTCCGCGAACGAAAAGTTGTCTGCGTGCAGCTTCTTTGGGCGCTGCTGTGGAAGGCTTCGAGGGTTGCTCAACATCGGCGGTGGCTGTGACTGCTTCTGCTCCATCGAGCGAGAGCCGCTGGCGCTTTCTACGGGGAGCCATTGCAAATAGATTAATTGAAAAAGCGTTGTTCGCGGCTTTGGACTTTTGCTATGTCTCCGAAAAAAAGTTCCAGCATCACGGCGCACAGATCCACCGCTCCGGCCTTGGCAGCACATGCGCCGGAAAGTGGAGCTAGACCCTTTTAGCTGAACGCTGCATGGGCAGCGAGACCTGCGTCCTGCATTTTGACTGCACTAGAACTCGATCTGTCTTCTTCGCCTTCACTCACTTTCACGACTTTCGCTAATGTTCGCTCACCGTTCAGTCTTCGTTGCATTCGCGTTCAATCTCAGATCGCGATCTTTCGCATCAAGTGCCCGCCCAACTGGGCAAGCCGAGTGTCAGCCTGCACATCCCCACTCAATCTCGGGTCATGGGACACAAGCCCTCGCATGTTGCTATCTATTGCCGCACTTTTTAGTCGTGCGGTGTCTCAGTGTGTGGGTGGTCTCGCATCTACAATGACATGCGCTTTCAAAATCCCATGCTCGCTACTCAGGACTCGCATACAGATACGTCACTGCGCACGACATTTTGACGACAACGCTGTTACGGCCGCGAGAGTAACAGAGACGATAGAACAATCCGCATACCCATGTATATATGCCTGCTACGTCGCTGACCTTCCTAACACCTAAGGACATCCCTTCGCATACAAGCAGAGACTTCCACAGATTGAACTGTAAGCTTTCACCACTATTGACAAGGCAATGTTTACCGGAAGATGTTCCGGTCACATCCACTAGCGGTACGAAACATGCTTGTCTCTCCATTTTGATATCCTCAGGTTCCCATCAAGAGCAATGATCGTTCCTGTCGCACCTTTGTTAACAACCAGGCGTGTTGAACAACAGGATCTGCCTAGACTGAGCCTCAAAGCGTTAGCACCCGACACTCAACGTCTGCACGCAATGCCATGGATGCAGCTCCTTTGACACTTCTGACACCGCAGCTACACCGGCGCAATCAAAGTGCTTATCAGGCATCGCTTAACTACTGCCCAACGCATCTTAGCCTTCCCCCGCCGCGGAGTGTAGTGCCGCCCATGTGAAGCCTATGGTACACACACAGGAGGGGTAAGCGCCGAAGGGGCATCTCTCAACATTTCGCCGTCTGTCGAGTACTCAGACAACAACCCAACAATGTCGCGTCCGAGTTCTGAAGCGGGTGAAGGCGACGCCCTTTTGAACACCGGCGAGGTAATCGCATCTTCTTCTCGAAACTATTCTACACTTGACCACACGAATCTTGCCGAAGAAATAACCACAAGAGACGGAACATCTTTGGACACAGACAAAGAGAAGCCTGTTAGCCATGATCGATCGGACGACCCGGAGCGTTCACGCTCGTTAGCTGAAGAGCTTGGCGATGAGGATATCTCTTTGTACGAGAAGAAATGCTTGCTCATCAACCGCGAGATCGACCTCATGGGCATGGGTCGATACCAGTGGTCGATTTGGGCCCTTTGCGGCTTTGGCTACATGATTGACTTGATGTGGGCACAGGCATTTGGCCTCGTCCTTTCGCCCATCCAGCAGGAAATGGGGTTTGGAGCTGATCAAACTGGCAAGCTATCCACTGCCTTTTCGATCGGACTCACCGCCGGTGCGTTTGTGTGGGGTGTCCTTGTGGACGTGATTGGGCGAAAGTTCTCTTTCAACCTGACAGTCTTCATCGCGTGCATCTTCGGCACTTGCATTGGCGCTCCAAGCACTTATAACGCCATTCTGGTTCTTACGGCATTTACTGGGTTCGGCGTTGGGGGTAACATTCCCATTGACACCACGATAACCTTGGAAGCCACCCCCCAGAGCAAGCGCTACCTTCTTCCCTTATTGTCCATTTTCCAACCAATCGGTGTTGTTATCTGCTCAGTGCTCGCCTATGGTTTCATCCCCAACTGGTCTTGCAGTCCCAATTTCTCTGAGGGAGATCGAGCGTTACCTGCTTGCGGCATCGTTGCTACAGGAGAGGCCTGTTGCTCAAGGGAAGACAATATGGGATGGCGCTATCTACTCTTTACTCTGGGAGGCATAACGATACTTGTCTTCGTCTTGCGTTCGGTTATTTTTACCTTCCAGGAGTCCCCGAAATTCCTCATATATCGTGGAAAAGATGCAGAAGCCATCCAAGTGTTGCATACTATGGCTCAATACAACGGTACAAACTGTACATTGGTCCTGGAGGATCTCGAAGCACTTGAAAGAGAGTTTGATTCTGACCGAAATACTGGACCCATGCTTGGAGGTGGGGTCAAACAGCTCAAGTCCACATGGGCTGAGAAGCTGAAATTAGAAGGCGACCGCTTCAAAATTCTGTTTTCGAGCTATCAGATGACAAGATTGACACTTTTGGTTTGGCTTACTTACATATGCGACTATTGGGGCTTCACTGTTGCAGGTGAGTTGCACATTTGTTCTCTTGATAATGTATACTGACTTTCCGTTAGGCTCCTACCTTCCACAGATTTTGGCCGTAAAGAACGGCGCCCTTGATCTTTCGCTCCGCTACACCTACCGCTCTTACATTTTCATTTATCTTCCCGGAGTTCTCGGCGTTGTGCTCGGAACTCTATCTTATCGTGCATCACGAGTGGGCCGCAAATGGACAATGGTGGTTTCCTCTGCGCTCATGGGCATTTCCATCTTCCTCTTCAGTAGTGTCAACTCGGCAGCTTCGAACATTGGCTTCAACGTCATGGAGTACTTCTTCCAATCCATGTTCAACTCGGTCTTGTACGGTTGGACACCCGAGGCTTTTCCGGCACCTATCAGAGGCACGGCATGCGGTATCGCGAGTTTCTGGGGCAGGCTATTCGGCATTATCAGTCCACTTATTGCACAGCATTTGTATGCTGGTGGTGGTGCAGGGAGGGACATCAACAGTGTTTTATATCTAGCTGGAGGAGTAACACTGGGCTGTGTCATCACGACAGCCCTGTTACCCAGCAAGCTTGTAGGCCGGCAGAGCTTGTAGGAAACCGGATGTGTGGGGTCTGAAGGAGCTCTGGAACGGAAGGGAGGGATATGTCTAAACGTGACCGCTGCTAGAGATACCCGCTACACTAGGTAGCATGCATTACTAGAAGAAGACAAGCAATATAAGGGTAGCACAATTCAAAACAGCGAGTTTCCTAATCAAGACAATCTGAAGTCGAGCCGAAGGCATCCACGAACGTGGCTGACCAGAGCTCGTATAGCTTGCAGATGTCGCATGTCTTTCAATCTCTTCAGTTGAGTGCAAATCGGACACCTTGAACTCCTCGACGCCGCCCAATGCTTGTACACGTTACTTCATGATCATAATTTCGTCTTCCCCGTCACCTCTGCTCGCCTCTGCTCCATGACATAGCCACTCGCCACTGGACTCCAGCCTTGACTAGCGGCTTGTGGTATGGGAAACGGCGGCTTTTTCAGATTTTGCGTGAAGAATACCGGATGCCGTATTGCGCTGTCGTAGACAGGTGTGAAGAAGGTAGCTGGCGTTTGTGGGGGGCCAAAGGGTGGCATAGCTTCGATTTGTGATCGTGGTTTCGAAACGTTGGTGAATGGGTTTGAAGGCTGCGTTGTAGGTTGTTGCGAGGCTTGTGATGGCGGATGCGCGGCGCGTCGCTGTTGGTGCGCGAATGAGGGTGTTGCGGGTTGCTGGTGAGGCTACGTTCTGTCAGCAAGTCTGATAAAACTACCACTGTAGACGACATACCTTTGGCCTCGACGGCTGCAAACTAGGGAACATGTCAGGTTGCTCGCGCGAGAAGGGTTAGAGCCTCTATCTGTCGTGCGTAACAATTATGCGGAGACGCCATCCATCACATACCTCGGCAGACCAAGCGACCGCGCGCGACGTCATTCCTACTTCGTCTTCGCGGACACGGACACTTTTCCGCTGCGTCAAACACCACCAAATGCAGGCCATTTATCCCGTTCCAACATGAGTGCAACAACACCGCGATTCCGAAATGCGAAGACCGCAAGCGCTGTTCTCCGCAGCCACAAGATGTGCAAGACTTGGAACTTCACGTAGGCTTTGTTCGTCGTCGCCTATCGTTAAAATCGCCAATGGCACGTTTTACCGCCAACATCCTTCGTCAAAAGGTCAAGATGCTGCTTCAAACCCGCCGTTATTCTCGGGCCTTACGTTAGATCTACCATCCTTCTCAACGCCGAAACAGCATTGGGCGGTTCTCAGCCCATCATCTGACATTCGCACGGCGTTTCTCCAAGTCCTTCGCGGTCAACTACTCTGCTTCCCCCCAACAGCGCGGTCTTTCCCTTACCTTCTCACCCCAGCCATCACAGAAAATAGACCACGCTTCCGCTTCCCCGAGCGAGCGATCGAGTATGTGGGCTTCGATGTTGAGCGGAAAGCTTTTGGTGGCGCCTATCTGTCGGCACGCTATGAGTCCCTAAGAGAAGATACCGACTTCACTGTCCAGAGATACCTGACGGGTATCGTAACGATGAACCCTGGAGAAGAGGAATTGAAGGCAAAGAGTGTGGATGAGGATGATATGAAGAGGGTAATGCGGGATTTGGAACTAGAGAGGTTTATCGACAAGCCTGTCAGTATGTTGAGCAATGGGCAGAGCAGACGGGCGAGAATTGCGAAGGCATTGCTGAGTAGGCCCGAGATGCTGTGTCTGGATGCGCCGTTTAGTGAGTCTTGGCTTTGTGCTGCTATTGTATTCTTGAATAGAGTAAGCTAACAGCGTGGTAGTTGGGCTTGATCCTATTGTCACAAAGCACATCTCCAAGGTTTTGCATCGTCTTGCGGAAGCCAACGCACCACGTGTTGTTCTCAGTCTACGACCGCAGGACGATGTTCCTGACTGGATTACACATGTTGTGTACGCTGGGGAAGACGGAAAGGTTAATAGGCTGGGGCCAAAGGAGGAGGTGTTGAGGTATCTGGAAGAGAAGTACGGGGAGATCGACAGTCTCAAGGATGATGAACAGAGCTCAAGCATCAAAGACACAGCGAAAGCAGGACAACAATCAGGAAGAGACGACTCCAAAACATCGCCAGGTACGCCGGCACTGAGCCGAGACGGCTACGAAAGAGTGGATACCTCTATACCTACTATCGGAGAACCCGTCGTCGAGATGCAAGGAGTACGCATTGCCTATGGCCAGAACTCTGTCTTAGGAGACTGGAAACAGGAAGTCAATGGCGTTTCTCGATCTGGTCTTCATTGGGATGTGTGTCGGAATCAACGCTGGGGTATATTTGGGGCGAATGGTTCCGGCAAGACTACTCTCTTGTCCCTTGTGACATCAGATCATCCACAGACTTACTCTGCTCCTGTAAAGCTCTTCCAGCGCTCTCGCTTACCCGAGCCCGGCGTCCCCGGCATAACCATTTTCGAAATACAGTCGCGGATGGGTCATGCGAGTCCAGAGGTTCATGCACTGTTTCCGAAGAGATTGACTCTGAGAACAACATTGGAGAGTGCATGGGCTGATACACCAATCACAAAGCCAAGACTAGATGGACAGGCGAAGAAAAGAGTGGATGCATGCTTAAACTGGTTTGAGGCGGAACTTAGACCTGGATTCGGCAGCTGTGAAAAAGGTAGCGAGACTACTGCGTGGGCATCCAACACTCTGTTTGGCGAAGTCTCATTTTCAGCTCAGCGCGTCCTCTTATTCCTGCGCGCCACGATCCGGAATCCTGATATCATTATCCTAGATGAAGCGTTCAGTGGCATGGACGATCTCGTTCGGGACAAATGTCTTTTGTTTCTCAGTCGCGGCCAGAGTATGGAACTCAAACCCTCAGAGGACGGACCAAAACCGGTGAAGTGGCAGGGTGAGGTCGAAATGCCCGGATTACAAGAACACCAAGCTTTGCTTTGCGTCAGCCATAGTAAACACGAAGTACCTGGATGCATACGAGAATGGATTTGTCTACCCGAGCCAGGCACGGGACCGCCGAGATTTGGTCGATTTGATGGGCCTGTTGAATTGGATGCCGGACGTTGGAATGAAGTCTGGGACGAAGAGCTGTAGACCTTCACACCCTATTGAGACGGAGTAGACATCCAAGCTTCGTTTCTCCAAATCACATCAAAATCCACCATACATTGCGTGCCATCCACACTCAGTACTCTTATATCGTATCAGTCATGTTAGTAGTGGCCATTGGTGCAGGGTAAAGGCGAAAGAAGGTAAAATGAAGCTTCCAAAAATGTTGTGGACGCGATTTGCGTTCTGAGAAGACATCGAAATCAGGAAAAGCCAAATAGAACTGTTCACAGATTGTATTTGCCGACAGCATACGTACTATCTATTGCTCATCTTCCCTACTACCACTCGTTCGCTTCTTCTCTCCCAGCTTTTCCGATCTCTCCGATATCTCGTCCGCAAGTCTAGCTAGATAAAACTTGGACACGTCGACTGGTAGATCTCTGAATGCTTTAACAATCTTCTCCACGTCTCTTCTACCGTTTTCATATGCTTGCAAGTCTCTATTTCCGTACACATCCTTACCTGCCGCGTACCCCTTCTCCAGCCCCTTCCAGAATACGTTGACTGCCACGCTAACGCCGTCTTCCGGTGTGGCTGTATGACTCCACATGGGTGGTATGTATAGGATGTCACCGGGCTTAAGTGAAGCAGCGTGGGGATGAGTACGCCGAAGCTTAGGGTTTTTAGAGGTCAAGACATCGATATTGGAGGATGAGCCACCAGGGGGGAAGTCCAGTAGGGACACATCGGTAGGCGGATAGAGAAATAGGGTTTTTGAACCGCGGATCTGACAGAGGATGTTGGATAGGACGTCATAGTGTAGCCATAAGGTCACAGGCCCGGAGATGCGAAGGGGTGAGCTGTGGTAGTTCTCTTGAACTATGTTGCACACAGCGGGCACACGGAAATCGTTGGAGATTGTCGGAAAATCTTCTTCAAGTTTGGTGGGCAGCTTGTTCGGCTGACTTGATGACACAGCACGAAGATACGCATGAGACCCTTGTGCTATTCCGCCCAGAAAATCTGAGACCGATCTCTTGATGTACGAAAAGTTCTTGTCCTTGAATGTCATACGGTCTGAAGAGCACTCGTGTATGACGAGTTCCCTTTCTGGGCCAAGCTTCTCTTTTAGGTAGTCAAGTGTCCATAAGTCTGTGCACGGACCGATATCGAGGCCTTCGATGATGGCCGGTTTCAACGACGCCGTCAGCTTCGCAAAGTCATCTGACGACTGAATTTGCACTCTGGCAATCTCAGTAGTACGTGCAGCAGTAGCAGGTCTCTTTCTCGCTTTCGCTTCCCCTCGTTGGCTTTTAGTCGTCGTTTCAGCAGTGCTCGCTTGTGCTGTGCCTTCTGTGCCTGCTGCGCCGCTGACCTGACTCGGCACAACGCGACGCCACGGCTTAGCCCCTTGTGAAGGACCGGGAAATATGGTCATCGGTTCTTCGTTCCAGTAGCTTCCCATTGAGAAGCATACCGCCCCTCCTCCTGCAAGCACAATCTCGCCTCGAGATGTTGAAACCGCCCCTACACCCACTAGCAAAGGCCATGCTGTTGGTGGTGAGACCTGCATACTGAGGCACTCCACTTCGATTGCCGTGTTCTTGCATTTCAAGAGCAGGAAGTCGTCTGATAGAGAGTGGATATGCTTCTTTGAAACACCTCCAATCAACATCAGGGAATCATTCCAAGGGACTAGATTGGCACCTATACGCGCGCATGCAGAGTTTTCCAAGCTGCTGCGCACATCATTGGTGCGGTGCCTAAAGTTGAGTCGTGGTGTTGGTGTGACGGAAACGGACCACTCCCACACCGCGTCTTCCATGACCACGCCGCTCTTGTTGGCACCTCCTATCAGCAACCCCCAATCTTGAGCAGAACCGATCGTGGAAATCGCGGCGCCGAAGCGTACAGACGGGCGCGGTCCGTCAACGGGAATGCTGTGCCATCCGTTGTTGGCAGTCCATAAGGCGCAGTAGTGTTCGGCATCGAGTACTGTGCCGTCACTGGCTTTGCCACCGAAGACGAAAACACCATGGGTCTGTGATTCCCCACTTCCTAATGTAACAGCTACGGCGCAATGACGATATCGCGCTGGCACAAGGTCATCCACTTTGGTCCAAGCTCCATGAACGAAGAGCCAGCAATCTGCACAAGCCTGGGTAGGCGATCCGCGTCCTCCGACCAACAACGCTTCACCGTTGTGCATTGATGTGATAGTATGGCACATGCGTGCAGTAGGTAGCAAGTCACAAGGCTTGCTGATACGATCCCCGTTGTGATCTTCCCGCCTCAGGACATCCATATCGGCGAGACGAGCACGCGTCCCCTGACCTCCGTGGAAGGCCACCGAGTCCTTGTCAACAGCGAAAGCTGCTGTGAAACGTCGTGGCGTCACGGCACCAGTGGATTGCTCTGGAATCTCAAGGGCTATACTCTGCGCATCGATAGCCTTGCTGCACTCTCCGGTGGCTGCTGCCTCACTGTGGGTCGACTTGGGCGTTCTCCGTTGCTCCGAATTCGAGGCGACGAGTAGGAAATAATGACCGCCAAATAGCGCGAATTCTTCCCACTCGTCAAACGGCTCTATAGCATCCAGCCCGCTTCTGAGCGCGGGAGGGGTAAAAGCATCATCGGACCAAAGGTCCCATAGATTACGGGCCATGATTAGAGTTGGCCATCCTGCATTACGAAAACGAGTGGCTTGCTGAGTTAGCGATGAATGCAACTTAACCGCGTTGATTGATGCTTTAAGCTTGTCGAAGTGAGACAGCATAGTCTTGGCAAAGGGATGGGCTGGGCCTTGGGGAAGGTACTGTTCTATGCGATATGAAGTCAGTAGGAAAGCAATGGTATACATAGGTGAAGGATCGAGTACCTAGTATGCAGAAGCGAGCTGGATCTGTTAGCATACCACTTTGAGCAGAATTTGTGGAGTCCGCGAACCGTCTTCGATGGTACTAGCCCATCGTATAAGTGCATCAGAGTCGTTTAGCGGCATATAGGTGATGGACACCTCGGCGACGAACAGGATCGAGGACGACGGAACATCAAATTCGGCCCGCAAAAGACGTTCGAGTGTCACGAGGTCTTTGAGATCACAGCCCAAAGCCATGTACTTGTCACTGCGGAGATATACAGGCTGTTTGGCATGGCGCAGTTTGGTCTTGAGCAAAGCGTCTCGAAGAAGACCATTGCTGAGCATGGTATCCCGTTTCCGTTGCATCAGCTGTGGATAGTCGACGTCTACAAAGGTTGCCGATTGCGTAAGAGGTGCATATCTGTGCCAGAACTGGAATGGCAAGGGGTCGCTTTCAGAGTTCAGTATTTTTTTTTTCCATGTTGCCAGTGGGCGATGAATGTCTTACTCACTATCCACATCCCAAGTTCACAACAATCTTTGGCCTTGAATTACCTTCTTCTAGAAACCGACGGACCGCCTGTTCAACAGCGTGCATGCGTAGCCAGTATCCTCGATTAATCAACGGGTCTTGAAACGCGAGTCGAGCATCAGTGTACGTTCACGTGGATTCGAGGCAGAAGTCACCTACTGCGTCGAAGGAACTTTGGAACAAAGGGCTCATAGAAGTCCGGTTCATGAATGAGATACAATTTGGACACACTCCTTTTGGAAACAATGCTGCTGTCATTCGTCTGACGTGGATATTAGTTACTTGGTTTTGAAGAGGGACGCTTGGCTGAAGAGGCTGGGAAACCTCACGTTCATAATGTCAACATCTCTTCTCTCGCGCAGTGTCTTCTGCTTGCCCTTGGTCCTCGGGAGGACCTTGTTGGGCCGCATAGTGTCTTTGGCCATGTCTCGGATTGGCAGATGTTGCCGACATGGACGTGGGAGAGGAATGTTTTTGTGGTGCACCAGCCACGGCGCGGGGCTTAGCTGACGTCGGGATCCCTGCATGGGCGCGTGAACCATCGTCAGACAGTGGTAGCGGCGAGCAGCGCATAGCTCCAAAGTATCTCCATCGCCCACGCACGCAGGTATACACTCATGCTGATTTCCGCATCGCCATCGCTCGGGCCTGCGCTTACCTCTGTACGCTGCCTATAGGGCTGATCTCTCGCGAACGGCTGCCCAAAGCTCCACCAACCTCGCACGCGCATATAGTCCCCAAGCTTCGTAGTACGCCCAAGCACGCAGTCGACACCAACACACCGACACGCACGGCAGTCATGAATTTTGTCACATTCAACCAAGACCATAGCCATCTGGGCGTCGGTATGCACCACGTCTACGTCAAGCTTCATCCGTACTGACCAGCTGCTGCAGGCACGCCTAATGGCTACCGCATATACACCACGGACCCGTTCAACAAGCAGTCCGAGTCGCGCGAGGGAGATGTCTCGAGCTTGGAGATGCTCTTCTCGACATCGCTAGTTGCTCTCACACTGTCGCCACGAGTGCTGCGGATACAAAACACAAAGGTTCGTTGGCTAGGCGGCCATGGCTATACAGGTACTGACACTGTCAAGAGGCACTCGACCATATGTGAGATGACCTTTCGAACAGCCATTCTGGCCATGCGGATGAACAGGAAGCGAATCGTAGTTGTGCTCGAGTCGGAGCTCTACATCTACGATATAAGCAACCTCCAGATGCTCAAGACCGAGAAGACGTCGCCTAATCCGAATGGTACGTCGAGAGAAATGCTGCTCTACAGTTGCTGACAAGCATAGCGATATGCGCCCTATCCGCATCATCTGAAAACAACTATCTTGTTTATCCGCTACCCACCAAAGCCGCACCCGCTACCTTCCAGCCGCCTTCGCATGCGCCGCCCAAGACTGATCACATTGCGCCCACAAGCGGAGAGGTCCTGATATACGATGCGACAAAGATGGAGGCAGTCAACGTCATCGAGGCGCACAACTCCCCACTGTCCTGTATTGCGCTGAACAGCGATGGCACCCTGCTGGCGACGGCATCAGAAAAGGGCACCATCATCCGTGTTTTCTCTATACCCGATGCACAGAAGCTGTACCAGTTTAGGAGGGGTTCCATACCAGCTAGGATATACAGCATGTCCTTCAATTCCACATCGACCTTGCTCAGCGTATCGTCAGCGACCGAGACGGTCCACATCTTCCGCTTAGGAGCGCCCAACAGCAGAAGTAATAGCGTCTCTTCCGGGCCCAGCAAGCCCATGGGGGCGTCCCATGCGCGCAGCAATAGTCGAGCAAGCCAAGAGACAGAGGACGAGTTTGGTACGAGCACGGCAGATATAACGTCGCCAGAGCGGAAAGCCATCAATCCCACGTTTGGTAGCTTGATACGACGCACATCGCAAACCGTTGGAAAGTCGTTCGCTGCTACTGTCGGCGGATATCTACCTAGCGCTGTAGCAGAGATATGGGAGCCATCGCGCGATTTTGCTTGGGTCAAGATACCGCGCTCGCCCACGAGCTTGTCTTCAGGGCCTGTTAGAAATGTAGTAGCACTCAACAACAACGGCCCTCAGATCATGGTTGTCACCAGCGAAGGCAACTACTATGTCTTCAACGTAGACTTGGAGAAGGGAGGCGAGGGGACGTTGTACAAACAGTACTCGTAAGTGGTTCATCAGTTCACTGTTATTGCCTGGGACATGCTAACGTTGACTGTAGCCTTCTCGAACCGAACGAGCTTGCGGCAAGCAACTCGCAAGATGTGCCAGAGTAGGCTTCATACCGGTGTCGATGCAGATTTTCCTCATGTCTTTGTTGTTGCATTGCCTGTGGCGCATTTGGTCCTAGATTATTCCCCGTGGTGTGGCGCATATGTTTTTTCAGCAGTACCATAGTCTCGATTTGCGTGCGGATGCGCATTGAGCAGCTCCTTTGCTCAGCAATATTACTTGCTTTTCTTGCAGCACATAGATGCCAATGGTGATGTCATGGAAGTAGTACAGTTGAAACTTTATCGAGTTTGGCACTTGCATCGTGCATGAACAGATATCGTGAGGCTTGCAGATCAAGATCGAACAGTCCCGCATGTGCATTAGCGCGCCCCGGACCCCGCCGACGCGTCGTTGGTCGCTGCCTGCTGTCCAAGTACGAATGCAATTGCACCTTTTATGGTTTGACGCTCCTTCATATACACCACTCTCTTACAACACCTCTACCACCTGCAACTGACGCTACAAATTCTCCGGGCCACATCTCACGACCTTGCAGACCCGCAGCACATTCCGGCATCTGCAACCATGGTAACCCAAAATACTACAGGCAACCCGCTGAGCTCGGGTTCGCTCGCTCTCTTCATGGCGACGTCACTACCAAAAGGCGATTCTTCACAGCTCAAGAACGGAACCGAAGCTGTCGCATTGTCTGTCCACGCTGGCATGCTTGCCGTTGGATTCCGTCTCATCGGACTGGGCGAAGACGAGCGCATAGGTAAGCATCCATCTTTTTTGCTCCGCTCGTCACTTGTCATAACTCGGGAACTCATAGAAGCGCATGCAGACGCTGAAAACCCTTCCGCATTACCCAAAGAATGGAACGCATCCTCTTCATACGCTTTTCGATACGCGCACGCACAATCAGCCATGGAGTACCTTGTCAAAGTCAACAGATTGGGAGGCAAGGCGGTCGTCTACGCCCTGGCGCTGGGCGATGACAAGACTACACATTTCGAAGTTACAACCAAGGACTACATCTCAGAATCACAGCTACCGTTCAGTGTATCTGAAGACGCGTCAACCGAGGACGTGTCGCGGAAGGTGCAAGAGCTCTTCATATCCCCAGGCAGGCTGAACGATCTAGGCTCCCTTCTCAAGATCTCCATCATCCAGAAACTGGCACCTGGGTTGAACAAGCCAGGATATGAGGAGGCCAGCGAGGATCGAGAACGCACACCCACAGCAGATCAGCAAGAACCGCAACGAGGTCAGCCTGCGAATCCACGGCAACCCCCCAACGAGCCAGAGCCTGCGCGGCCATATCCGTTCCATGACCCTCTCGCCGCGCGACCAGGCTCTGGGCGGCATCTACCAGAGCCCATACCCGGCTTTGATGATGAACTGGAAGTAAACCGGCAACCAGGTCGCATGCCTGGTAATAATCCTATCAATATCGGCCACGACGACTTGTACCCACAAGGTCTTGGACCGAACGATCCTCTCAGACCACACTTAGCAGGCGGACTGCCACGGCCTGGTGGTTTCGGTGGTGGCGGTATGCATCCCACTTTCGACGATCCACTGTTTCGCGGTCAAGGCGGACAGGGCGGGTATGATCCGAGAGCACCACCCGGCGCTCGTTACGATCCGATGGGACCTGGTGATCCACTGAGGGAGGATAGAGGAAGAGGCCCCATGTTCCCAGGCGGAGGAGGCTTTGGCGGACCCGGTGGTTTCGGCGGAGCAGGTGGACGACCGCCAAATCCATTCGGTGGCTTTGGCGGTGGAGACTTCATCTGAGCGCTTCGCAAAAGTTTGCATGTACGAGACGTGAGACGATAGGTCGAGAAGACACGAAGAAAGACTCACGAATGACGATTGAAACGGCAGAAACATATGGCGTAGGTAATTCGAGTGCATGCGGCACGGACAGGGCGGTGCTGGCTGCGCCACTCCAACACCGCATCTCGGTGCTTGCGTAGGTACGATAAGTATGTAGATGAATACGTAATATATTTAGAACTTCCGACATTCACACCCGAATATCTTCTGCAATCATACTTGTTTTGCGTCTCCACGCGCCAAATGCACTCGGTTGAGCAATAGCACTGCGGCTTAGATATGTATAACCGCCTGCAGATGTTGACCGTGGTTGGAGAATATCTATAGTCACTGGTTGCCTGACTACCATCAGTCTGTTCTAACCATGAGCTTTGAATAGATTGTCGTATGACGTAGTAGAGTATGCAACAATGCATGGCTGTGAGACGTGTGAGAGTCTCCACATGACTGCAGTACTTCTATAGCCAATAAAGTACCCCTTGATACATGTAGAACGACGGCTGTAGTCACGGCTAAACTGTTTATACCGTATATCAGAACCTGCATGTATGTGTGTAGTAGTCCTTCATTCCGAAACAGTGACCCATCAACGTCTTCAGAATTAGTGACTGGACAGAGGCTACGAAGATTTGAGCAAAGGGATGTCTCGCTTGTGCTGGGCCGCCACTGTGCAGACTCCAGAAAAGCCACTCCACCATTTTCAAAGATTGAGACTCGGGCGATCAAGGAAGCTCTTTGCTAGTCTAAGATGGGATCCCTGGTCCTTTTTCTTCTCGTGTAGACCATGCAGCAATGCGATCTAGTCCACTCACTAACGATACCAATACTGTTCTCGTGTAAAGAAAATGAGGCGCATAAGAACCTCGTCCATACGCAAGGGTTGACTCGATACGTGAAAGGCGCAAGTTATCCACGTGCTTCACCGCTCAGTCTCGTGGCTTTCTAAGGGAGAGGTGAAAGGCAGAGGCGATGGAAGTTTTACCCCTTGCATATTTGGAATGTTCTTTCGACGCGGGGTGGACTCATGGTCTCTCCATGAGGAGAAGCTTAGCGAGGAGGGTGACGATGACGAGCTTTACAATAGCTTTGGCACACGGTATGCTACCCCTTCTGATTCGGCTCCGAAACAAGGTCGGAAAGGCGAATGGCGGCTTACTGACTCGTTCTCTTCACTGTCATTCATGGATATACCTTGGGGTAAGGAGGTCTATTTACCGTCTCGTTGGGTTCGCACGGCATGTGAGACCAAAGGGTCACCCTGAGTGTGGTGGCGATCAACAAACACTACCGGTGGCTCGAGTAGCGGCTGATTGTTCATGGCTGGTGGCTGCTGAATCACTCATGCAGCTTCGCAGTAACTACCTCCTTGTATCTAGCATATCTTACTGAAGAGTCAGACGCTTTTTGGTGTGATACTAGGCCCCAGTGTTTGATATCAAACAGTGTGGGGGCTGAGAACGCGCTTGCGCAGTGCGTCTCTAAACGCGAAGGAAGAATTCAGTGACAATGACATGACATCATAGCATGGAAAGACAGGTGATTGTGGTTGTCACAATGATCAGTATACTACCGTTGGAGAATCGGCGCACTTTGCTTTTGCCGCTGCGTAGAGGGTGATGGATGTCTTGCCTGCTGCCAGATGGCAGCCTCACCCGCGAGGCACAGAAGCTTACCTACACTTCCTCTTGTTCCCGCAAGGCTGTCTCAGCCCACTTCCCCTCTTTCCTTGGCCGTGTCTTTCTTTCAATGGAACCTGACGAATGCCAAGGGCGCCATGTCTTGCCTTCGGATCCGAAGATATAGGCCCGAGGTAGTGTACATGGTACTCCGGATACAAGTGGAGGGTTTGAAACTACCATTTTAGCGTGGAATGCTACCCAAGCCGGCTCGAACAGCTGTCCTACACGGGAGCATACAGCCTGGAAATGTGAAAATTTCGGATGCCGGCTTCCTGAGCCCTGTCTGCCGCGAGCCGTCACGGCGTCTAAGCGCGAACGGCTGAACCGTTAAGAAGGTAAATTTATCGCCATTCACATCCAACATCAACACGTACAATTGGCCCATCGCTTGCCGGGTTTGGGTGCCACCTGCCTAGGTAAACTAATATGCATTGGATCATTCCGCTCGATTTATGCAATTATCCATCTTTTGTCTCATCCTACGAGCGGAAATGGGGCTAAATGCAGGGCGGTTGATGATAACATTGTGCGATGCGGATCGGCGGACGGTAGGCGCGTAATCAATGGCTACGAGAAAGCACAGCACGCTGCAGGTGGTGGTGATGGTCACATACCAAATGGAGGATTAGAAATATCCTATTCTCATCTCTCAAAGTCGCGATAATCCGGCTGTGACCGCTGTTGCGCATGGACTCTTGCCTGTGATGGGTCATCGAATTGGTACTACGGTGTCTACTAAAACTTCCTTTCGCAGATTCTCTATCTACGAATGAAGCTGAATAGCTCGAAAAGTTTCGCACTGGGTGAAGCACCTCGTCGGGGCTCGTGGATAGGTGCGTGCCGACGTGGTTTGGCGAAGGAATCGAGTCTGGATTGGTGTAACAATGTGTGTGAGCGCCGAGAGATCGCTACCAGTCTGCTGGATATGTTATCATCTGAAGTGCAGTATGCGAGCAATGTAGCCCGATATCGATGTCTAGTGATTTGTGTTTTCGACGCTCGTACGATAACTAGGCAGGAAGCCAGGGTTGTGCTTCCCCGCAAGCGAGATGAGGAGATCCAGGTTCATCCCCCACGGAGGTTTCCTGCCTGCGCTCGGTTTGCGTTCATCGTTTGCTTTGATCGGGCGGCACAGTTTCGCGCGCACACTGAGTCGACGATCTCGGAGGAACATCTGTTTGTGGAAAGTGAACGGTCGCGGGAGTTTCCAGCTGCCGTACCGATCTGGCTGTGCCGCAACGTTGTAAGATTGCAAAGGGGGCCGGGGATGTTATCGGACGATACTCACGCTTCAACGTCTTTTGCTTGACGCTTGACGCTTGACAAGGCTGTTCTTACAAACATCGAAAGGTACAGCAACAATGTTGGACGGCAGCCTCCCAAAGTGCCGAAGCCAGGCAGACGCCGTAGGTCTGTCTGCCAAGAGCCCTAACTATTTGAAGATGGTCTCCGAGCCCAGTGAACCAGGCTGTGAGGGTCAACGGAGATGCCGCCAGCATTATTCGCGTGCAAGGCTAGGAGAGTTACTACGGTGTCATGAG